AGGAAGGAAGGAAGGAAGGAAGGAAGGAAGGAAGGAAGGAAGGAAGGGAGGAAGGGAGGAAGGGAGGAAGGGAGGAAGGGAGGAAGGGAGGAAGGGAGGAAGGGAGGAAAAGAAAAGGCAGTGGTGGTGCATATCCTTAATCCCAGCACCAGCACTCAGGGGCAGGTGGATTGCTTGAGTTCCAGGCCAGCCTGATCTACAGAACAGTGAACTCTAGGAGTGTGAGGGGTCACAGATAAACTGTCTCAAAAAAAAAAAAAAAAAAAAAAAATCCAAATAACTAGTTAATTATTAATTTTAGAAGTCCCACCTCCTAGGGCTTTCGGGTAGTAGTAATCTAGACCTTACAGGCACTAAATCACCGTGGGTGTGATGGCACATATACACTATCCTTATAAAGTGTGATCCAATCTCAAAAACAAAAATAAAACAAAACCACATGGCTCACAGTAATCATCTTAACTGGTTATATGAAGTGGGCCTGTGATTTTTTTGTCCTTAACCCACAGCTAGGTAGGTTCTACAGAAGAACTCAGGCAGGCAAACAGAGAAGCTTAGAATGGCTCCACTTGGCTTGTGCTATGCACACAACCTCTTTCCTAACAGTGCACTTAGCAACCTGATACCCACCTGCATTTATTGAGCTGTATATGTTTACCCTACTTCAAACAATGGAAGTAAGTTGCTTCCCTTGGCAAACTCCTGATAACTACCTGTTTGTGTTCAAAAATGTATTTTTGCTTCGCTCTTCATAAACTACGGGTTGTTTTCTTTTTGTGTGTGCATCTTTTCTAATTCTTTGAACAAGGCACCAAGAACCTGGAAACACCCAGAGATCACTGGTAAGAACTATGCAGCAAGGTTAATTCTTGTTGAAAATTCTCAGACCTAGCAATTCCTCGCTCTTCTTTTTCTTTTACACTGTTGAACTTAGGTTCTGTTTCTGCCAGTTCTTTCTGTTTTTCTTCTATCTTTTCAAGCAGCTTCTGCCTCTCTTTTAATAAACGTTTCTGTAAATAAAACAAGAATGCGATCTGCTTAATTTATATATCAGAAAAAAAACATTTCTCATAAAAGTAAGTCAATTCTATAATTCAACTATTAATAAAAAAGAGCACTTACTAAGTTGATACTTGAGTACAGATCAAATGTGGTAAACCTTTTACAAAAACTCAGTAACGCATCCATCACAGAAAAGGCTTTCTTCTTAGTCTGCCTCATCAATACGTCTGTCATTTCCAGCAATAACTTACCCGCTGTTCGCTATTGCCTGCCAGCTCATCTTGTAAATCCTTGGCTTTAAGTTCCAACTTAGTCCTTTGCTTAATCTGCTCTTGTCTTTCAGCACTAAGCTGTTCTTTTTCTTCTTTCATAGCTGAAATTTTTGTTTTCAGCTCTCTAACCTGGCGCTCAATGTCCTAATCAGAGAGAGAAAATAGGTCATAAACAGAAGTACAATGCGACGACCATGACACCACCAACTACCTACATGTCTTTACAAACTTCCATAGAGCCACATGCACACACACCATGAGTGTGCACACGCCAGAGTGCAAGTGAGGGCCAGAGGCCACCTTACGGAACAGGTTCTCTTTCACTGCCCGGAGACGGAACTCAGGCAGCTAGCCTTGTACCCACACATAGCGCTTTTCGGGCTCCATCTCTTTCTCTCACTTAAACTCAATACAACAATTACTCTCCAATATCCAACCTCCGTTGTTCCCTTATGGGTCACCATCCCACAATTCTGGCACAAAGTTCTCAACTGTTGAAAATACAAAGAAATCAAGCCTATTTATAGCCTCACCTCCATTTTATCTCTCGCATCCTGCTGGGCGTCTCTTAATTGTCTGGATTTCTCTCCACTCGTTTCTCGCTTAGCAGAAAGCTGAAAAACATAACAAACTTCTATTTCTAACTCATTTTGTATCTAACATTTCATAACATATAGTTTAAAAATTGCTTTGCAACTGCCAAGAAATACTGACAATAATCATTTGCTCAGAATTCTATGAAGAAAAAAAAATGTTTTTCTTTAAATAGAAACCTCAAAGATAATCTAAAATAAATTTTTGTATAAAGCATCATCATTTTACAAAATACATTCTAAAATGCAAGGAAAAATGTCTGGTCTGCAAAAACCATTTACTGTATTTTAGATAAGCACAGCTCTAAACATTTCCTTTTCAGTTAACCTAAAGAAAGTTAGTAACCCATGAATTTGATAGTTTTGAGCCTCGTGTAGAAGCCAATTCCTGTAATTCCACACTCAGTAGTCACAATCTGGGTTTTACAGTGAAACTGTATCAAAACATACACAAACAAAAAGGTTTTCATTTTTAAGTTTCTATTGAAAAATCACTAAAGGTGAAATGCAGACAAGTCGCCACACTCAGAACAAAGCCACTTTGCCTGTAAAGGCAGCGTGTTACCTCGTCAAGCTTAGCCCGAGTCTCATTGAGCTCCTGGTTGTAGATGGTATACTCCAGGGCACGCCTCATCTTATCCCACTTCTGATACTGAGCAAGTTCTTCCTTTTCCTCCTCTAGAGTATGTAATCGCTCTTCAATGTATTTTAACAACTCATTGATCTTTTCCCGTTTGCCCTCTTCAAAATAAAAAACAAAACAATAAAAAGATGGTGCTGAATACAGTTTTCATGTAGTATCACTTCTTAAATATATATTAAAATTACTCTCTAGAATATAGCATTCTTTCTGTACCACATAGTAACATCTTTTAAGATGTAAAAAAATATAGCAATCAAGACGCCTTTTTTTTTTTTCAAGGAAAACACTAGAGAGCACATAAACACTAACAAAGACCTCAGTGTACACTTTCTTCTCACATCAGTGTGCTGTCCCACACATTAAAGGAGAAGAAATTATCACTGGCATTACTAGTTCTCAGTTCTAGTAAGGCACTGCATGCTGCTACCATACAATGAATATTACTACAACCCGGGCATCACATTACCTTAAGTGCCCTAATCTAATCTACAAAGGAGGAGTTTACAGTCAGGAAGTCTAAAATAATGTCAATTTACTGACTTTAACCTAGAACCGTCTGGCTCTAAGTCATTATAATGATATGACGCAACATTTGAAAAAGCAAAGTAGGATCCCAGAGTTGACTAGTACGGATCCCTAGTTAAAATTCTGCATCACTTGTTTCTGAATAATTTAAAACTTCTTGGCAACTGGTTGTCAAGTATCTGGAGTGGAGGGAGAAGCATCCCAGTTCACTGACCTCTGCTAACACTTCTTCAAGAAGCCCCAGTCAACAGTTAGTGTGGTTAGCAACCCTATTATCTAACATAGTCCTTTTTCATTCAAAGACAAAGTACTAGAAACATCAACTTTAAACTACTTCAAACTAAATGTCACTCCATTCAGCATGCAGGAAAATTACAACAGAATGTATTTCTGAAGTCAGATAACACTATTATTAACACGAGAAGAAAAGTAATTAGACAGCATGTGCTTATTTTACCGGTTTCTTTCATTAGGGAGATGCTTTCTTCTTTACGTTCGTCATAGACTCTAGTACCAGCTACTTCTCTCAATAGTTTTAGTCTCTGAGAATCTGGTGCTGTTGCCATTTGGTTGATCTATAATTTCAGAAAAAAAAAAAAAACAAACAAAAAAACAGTTAACTACTGACTACTCCTTAAGAAATAAAAACTTACCTTAAAATATTTAGGTTTTATGGTTCAGGTTCTTTTTGAGACAGGCTCTCATTATGTAGTCCTGGCTGCCCTGGAACTTATCACATAGGCCAGTCTAGTCTCGAATTACAGAGATCCACATGCCTCTATCTGCGTCCTCTGCAAGAAGAGTCAGTGCTCTTAACTGCTGAGCCATCTCTCCAGCCCCATTACAGACTTTTTCTTAAGGCTATATTAAAATCCTAACAAGCTGTATGGCAAGATGGGTCAGTGGACACAAGTGTTTGTGATACAGACCTGGCAATGAGTTTGATCTTCACAACCCATGTAAAGGTAGAAAACAAGAACTGACTGACTACAAAGTTAATCTCTGACCTCCATGTACAAGCTATGGCACATACACTCACATACCATGCACACATAATAATAATTTTTAAATTTTAAATTACAAAAAGTAACAAGAATGGTATGTCTTCATAGACAAAGATGCTGGTAAGAACTGAAGGAGCATGTGACTTAACACAAATCATTAGACATAAAAATACCACTGCTGCATTAAAGAAATTAAATTATTCTTACACTTTTACATAGAGAAAGAACTGGTTCTGAGCTAAGAAACTTTAAACTCTGGTTTTAAAGTACACAACATCAAACAATGTTCCAGAAAAAAGATTCTCAACAAAAACTCCACCAAAGGGTAAGTTCTGAGATGAAACTTATATAAGGAAGTAGTACAATAATCAGCCAAAGTTTAGAGTTTGGCTGATAAAAAAATCTCAAAAAAAAAAAAAAAAAAAAAAATCCAGCACTGTGGTATGTTTCTTGCAACGTAAGCTTTTTTAATAATTTAATTCTGTAATAAAATAAATGGAATAGGAAGTAAATTTTTAGGAAGTAAGTTTTTGTTTAAGACAGGGTTTCTCTATAGCTCTAGCTGTCCTGCAACTTGCTTTGTAAACCAGACTAGCCTAGAACTTAGAGATCTACCTGCCTCTGCCTTCTAAGTGGGATTAAAGGCATGCAACACCACAGCCCAGCTTAGGAAGTAACTTTTTTCAAATATAATTTTCATACATGTAATAGTCTCAGAAATGATCACTGTAGCTTCCAAAAGCCAATGTCTCCCAATAAGTTCTACCTCACTAGGTCACTAATAAATAAGATCCACTTAACCTACTCATATACGTCTTTCAATATAGAACTAATGTAGGTGCCCAGTGGTGGTGCCTTAATTCCAGCTCTAGGGAGCCTGAGGCAGGTGGATCTCTGTGAGTTTGAGGCCAGAGAGACTGGTCTACTGTATTTAGGACATTAACTTCAATAACCACCACCCAAAATGAATACAAAAAATAGTAATGCCTAGTATTTTGATCCAACTCAACAATTGGAACCAAATTGGAACCAATTCAAAATCTTTCATATTAAGAAAAATAATTTCTGGGGCTGGAGAGATGGCTCAGAGGTTAAGAGCACTGCCTGCTCTTCCAGAGGTCCTGAGTTCAATTCCCAGCAACCACATGGTGGCTCACAACCACCTATAATAACATCTAGTGTCTTCTTCTGGAGTGCAAGTGTATATGCAGATAGAACATTGTATACATATTAGATAAATAAAATATATATTTAAAAAAAATAATTTCTACAAAAAAAAGGACATAAAATTATTTTACCTTTCCTTGTTTAACAATGTAATAAGGATTACTTCGAGAAAACCCAGCACTTTCAAGGAGGTTCATCACGTCATTTTTCCTGTTAACAAACAACAAAACTTTCAAGATAAAAAATTTTAAAACAACCAATGATAAGCAAGCAAATTAGCTGCTAAGTGAAACAGTACTGGGAACTGCAGGTTTGAAACTGAACCGTCTCTTAGAGAAACTTGAGACTGAACATTCATACTGAATCTCTCTCTGGTAAGACCCACTTGTGTTTCTGTGAACATTTTAACAAATTTTAAACAAAGACAAATCCTTACGTGACCATCTTCTTATCTAGAAAATACTGATCTTTTTTGGCTCCAATAACTCTTCGAAGTGAAACTTCCTCTTTATCGATCTAAGGGATTTAAAAGAAAAAAAAATAAAAACCCAGATATTCAAGTAGACAACTTTTTAGATAAGTTCATTTTAAAGTCCTTGAGCATAACCATTTTTAAAAGATCAATGTGTGAATATTTGGAATTTTTTTCTTACAATTACTTTATATTATCATTTGCTAGCATATTCATCAAAACTTAAACACAAAACACACTACTTATTTATTTTAACATGAAGTAAATTATAAATCTTCAAAACATAATTTTAAGCACTAAATAATTAACTGTTACATAAAATTGTTAGCATTGCTTTAAAAAAAAAAAATCAAAAAACCAAAAACTTAACTATCACTTACTGGTAACCGGTTGTCTGAATTGTCAAAAATGATTTCCACAAAAGCAGAAATAACACGAGGACCTGTACCCTCCTGAAATATGAAAAGACCAGGATATTTGTAACTTAAATAGTACTTTTATACTCTTCAAACCCACTTTAAAGTGCAGCACAGACTGGCCTGGTCCACACCTGTGATCTTGGTGCTTGAAAGGCTAAGGTAGGAAGACTGAAGCTGATTTTGATGTCAGCCTTGGCTACACAATAAGGTCTCTTTCTCAAGACAAACAATGCCTCCCACCCGGCCCCAACACACACAAAGCTGAGTACAAAGCAAGCCTGACTCAACAGAGAAAACGTTTTGTCACTAGTACATATCCTGACTGCCAAGTATTAAAGACACTGAATCAGAATAACAAAACTTCCTTACCAGCTTTTTTAATTCTATATAAGAACTACATGAAAATTATCAAGAAAAAAATATTGTTAAGTGTGGAGGGATGTCTTGTGTAGATGTAGCAGCTGTCAATAAAGACCTGATTGGCCAATCAGCTGGACAAAAGCACAGGAAGTGGAAGGCGGGACTTCTTAGTAGGAAGAAAAAAACTGGGAAGAGAAAAAAGCTTTTTTGCCAGGAGAAACAGAGAAAGACAGGTGTTCATGATGCTAGAAGAATAGCTGGCCATAGGCTGGGTGAGGCAAGGTGGGCCAGTAATTTTAGGTGAGATAGCTTAGAGTGTGTCCAGCCTACGTTTTGAAATTTTAAAAGGTCTTGGCACCCTTATTTTTATGGGTTTGTTTTTTGGGGGGTTGTTTTTTTTTTGTTTTGTTTTGTTTTGTTTTGTAATTTTTATTTTATTTTTATGGCTGGCTGGGGCTTAGGTTTTTTTCCTTCCTCAAGAAAGGCCAAGGCAAGAAAATTACAGGCATGAAGACAACCTGAGTAACAAAGTAAAAACTTGTCTCAAAAATACAAATACAAGGGTTGGCAAGATGGGTCACCAAGTAAAAAAGAATGTTTGCCATAAAAGTTTGCTGACCGGAGTTCAATCACATTCACCCACAAGGAAAGAAACCAGCTCCCCAAAGTCCTCTGACCTTCATAAAGCATACTCCTTGACACCTGTACACTCATTCACACATACAATAACCACTTTTAAAAAACAAAATCAGAAAAAGCTCATGTTAAAAAATGCATGTACTTTCTTCTATTATGAAATTATTAGGCCTTTATCTGGCAATGATGTAGTACACTAAGTTCTACCACAGAATAGCAAAAATAAGGAACTGAGACTCCACTTTGTTCACAAAGAATCTGTAATGTGAACTTATTTTACTTTATGTATATGGGTGTTCTGCCTGCATGTGTGTCTATGCACTACCTGTGTGTCTGGAACCCAGAAGCCAAGAGGACAGAGACATTTGTGAGCCACCATTGAGGTGCCGGAAACAGAGCCAAGTTCCCCACAAAAGCATCCAGTGCACTCTTAGGCGCTGAGCCATCTTTCCAGTCCTGTCTCCCAGACCCTTTTACATGATAAAATCTCACACTGTAGCTCAAGCTGGCCTGGAACTATGAAAGCCCTGGGTGGCCTAAAACTCAAGGCAATCCTGCTTGAGTGTTTCTTTCAAGAGGTTCAATAACAGAAGCTGCCATGCCCAGCAATTTTTTTCTTCCACAGCAAGGATTGACAATGTTTAAAAATACACAATAAAGTCTTAAAAGAGTCTCACTCACATGCAACAAAGCCAATCGCTGCTCCGGGCGAAGATGACTAAACTCATCACTGAGAACAAACTGAATTGCTAAAACACAAAAATAAGATTATTAGCACATCCTAAAGGAGGATTTACAGCTTATTCATAGCCCCATATCTTAACAGAATATGATGTGTCAGATAATAAACATTGCAGACAAATTGTTTCACATACACAAAATGATTGCAGACAACTTTCCAGTATATCAGACTAATTTGGTAGGGAGAATTAAGCTTCCACTGAATCATAGAGACATTCAAATATCAAAAAGAAAGAGAGGGAGAAGAAGGTAGGTCTACACCCTAACAGAAGTATACGCTGTAATCAGGTCAATACTATAAGGCCATGTACTGTATTATAACAAAAATATTTTTGCCTAATAACAGTGCAATGATATACTGCTACAGCTGAGCACATTTCTACAAACTAAGAAATACAGGGAACTGTTTCAAATTCCCAGCTTCTAGCACTGCTTACAGTAAGCACACTTCGGTGAGAACTAGCCCTATACTCCACACAAAATACCTAACTAATGGACCACCGACCAAGACATGGAATGCTTTAATTCAGCTATTCTGATCCAGGACTACCCCAGAGATCTCTAAAATACCAAGTCAGTGTGAGAACATGAGAGGGGGAGCAATCATGTATGATTCTATGTGCTATGACAGACTGGCTGTTTCTCAGCATTGCCTGGAATGGGCGGATTCAAACTATCCTCCTTTCTCTGGATTCTGAGATCTATGCTTTACTTCAATCTGCTCTGTAATCATATTACAGCCACTACAGGGCTTTCCGTATCCTTCAGATACATGTGTGAACAGACAGCACCTTTACTCCCACTAAACCCTGTTTTCCACAAGCTAACATTTTAACCAATCCTTACACAATGCAACTCCAATAATTTTTCTCCTCAAAGAACTTGTTAAGAAAGGCACGTTATTCATTTTTTTATCCTTAGACTTTTTATCTTCAAACAGGTATCAATATTTTTACTACATTGCGCTATCATTTCTCAGAATCCATCCAGAATATACACTGCCAATATTACAGCAAAAAATATTTTAACAGTGTTTCTGCTGTCTCATAAGGCCAGGCTGAAGACAGACAATCCAGATACTCATACACGAACCTTCTACACTAAACTACAACCATGTATGACTTCTTTGGTTTCATGTAGAAATAATGTCACAAATCAATTATTTTTTTAATTTTTATTAATTAGTTTATTCACCTTGTATCCCAGCTATAGCCACCTCCCCATCCCATCTTCCCTCTCTTCTTCTCCTATGGCCCTCCCCCAGTCCAATGATAGGGGAGGTCCTCCTCCCCTTCCATCTGACCCTAGTCTATCAGATCTCATCAGGACTGGCTTCAGGGTCTTCCTCTGTGGACTGGTAAAGCTACTACCCCCTCAGGGGGAGGTGATCAAAAAGCCAGCCCATAAGTTCGTGTCAGAGATGGTCCCTGTTCCTATTACTAGGGAACCCTCTTGGACACTGAGCTGCTATGGGCTACATCTGTGCAGGGGTTCTAGGTTATCTCCATGCATGGCCCTTGTTTGGATTATCAGTCTCACAAAAGACCCCTGTGCCCAGATTTTTTTGGTTCTGTTGCTCTCCTTGAGGAGTTCCTATCCCCTCCAGGTCTTTCAATCTCCCCCTTCATTTATAAGATTCCCTGCACTCTGCCCAAAGTTTGGCTATGAATCTCAGCATATGTTTTGATACCCAGCTGGGTAGGGTCTTTCAGAGGCCCTCTGTAATAGACTCCTGTCCGGCTCCCTGTTTTCTCCCTCTTCCAATGTCTGTCCCATCTGCCTTTTTGAATGAAGACTGAGCATTTTACCCACAAATTAATTATTTTAATAAACCATCTTAAAGATGGTTTATAAAGCCTTGAGTGTTCAATAGTTAAAATCCAAAAATCTATACTTACCATAAAAAAAGTTGCTTTTTCCAGATCCATTTCTGCCCACTATAAAATTTCAAAAAGTACAAGTTAGTTCATATAAAACCAAACAATTTAAAATTAATCTATTTTAAAATTTTAATGCAATTTTCTATCATACTACCTTAATACTGAAACTAAATAAAAAGCAGTGAGCAAAAGAACCAGCAGAGGGGGCTGGAGAAATGGCTCAGAGCACTAGCTGCTCTTCCAAAGGTCCTGAGTTCAATTCCCAACAACCACATGCTGGCTCACATCCATCGATAACAAGATCTGGTGCCCTCTTCTGGCCTGTAGGCACACATGCAGACAGACTACTGTATAAATAATAAATAACTCTTTAAAAAAAGAACCAGCAGAGCTGTAATTACCTACTGAGTTTAATCTTTATATGGATTTTAGATAGTTTCTATTTGTTCTATTTTGAAACCAGGTCTTAGTATATAGCCTGCTTGGTCTCTTACTATTCAGCTTCTTTCTAATTTGTAATCCTGCTTCCTCAGCTTCCCAAATTCTAAGATTATAGGCATACACTACCACACCTGGCACCACACAGTTTTCCCTTTCCCTAGTTTTCTGTGTGTGTTGTGTTTGTGTATATCCATGCATGTATGCAGAGGACATAGATCACCATGGGTGTCTTCCTCTCTTGCTTACCCTAATTTTTAAGATCACCTCTTAAAGGCTGGAGAGATTGCTCAGAGGAGAAGAGCACTGACTGCTCTTCCAGAAGACCAGGGTTCAATTCCCAGCACCCACATGGCAGCCTGAAACTGTCTATAATTCCAAGATCTGACAGCCTCACACAGACATACAAGCAGGCAAACCACCAATGCATATAAAATAAAAGAAAGAAAGAAAGAAAGAAATAAAAATGGAAAAGATGGCCTCTCACTGAACCTGCAGTTCACTGTCCCAGCTAGCTGACTGGCCACCCACTGCACACAACCTACTCTAGCCCCAGGCTAAGATTACAGACACCCACTGACAAGCCACCCTTCTATATGGTGCTGAATCCAAACCCAAGCCTCATGCTAGCAGAGCAAGCAGTTTACCCACTGAGCCACCCTGCTCAGATAGTTGACTCTTTTGCTCTATCCTCATAGTTTAAATAGGAGTAACTATGCTACCTGACATTGGTAACTCAAAGATGAATGGAAAATTGTACTTAAATCATATATGCTATTTCCAGCAATTTATATTCATATTGTTAACCTTCTTAAACAGTTACATGTTTTAAACTCCCAAGCATTAAGCTAAACTACTTATGACCAACCCTGTACACTGGTACAGCCTACCAGAATCACCGAAGGAGAGACAATTTTATAAGGCACTTCTTTTGTTTTGTATGTTTTTGTTTTCTTTCCCTTCTTTTCTTTCTTTCTTTCCCTTCCTTCCTTCCTTTCTTTTCCTTCCTTCTCTTCTTCCTTCCCTCCCCTCCCTCCCTCCCTCCCTCCCTCCTTCCTTCCTTTCTTTCTTGAGATAGGGCCTCACACTATTTAGCCCTGGCTGTCCTGGGCTTGCTATACAGACCAAGCCGGACTCAAACTCAGAGATCTTCCTGCCTCTGTCTCCCATTTCTGGGAATAAATGTGTACCACCACATCCAACTATAAGGCATATTTTAAAAAAATATTTAACTTTATCTTTAGGTTTTTTTTGAGACAAGATTTCTGTTTAATAGCCCTGGCTCTTCTGGGCCTTGCTCTATAGACCAGGCTGGCCTCAGACTCACAAAGAAAGCCTGCCTCTGCCTCTGCCTCTGTTCAGAATGCACTACCACACCTGGCAGAGATTTTATTTTTAATTGTGTGTGTGCATACACAAGTTTTGAGTGAAGGGTGCTAAGAACGGAACCCCCGTCCTCTGCAAAAGCAGTATGTGCTCTTAACTGCTGAGTCAGTATCAAGAAATTCACACATCTGGCTTTTACTGGGCAAATCCTGGGTAACATGAATACAAAATGTCTACCTTCAAGATTAGTAGAAGGAACAATCCATTATTTTATAACAATAATAGTAAGACAAGTAAATGAGGAGAGCTCTTGTTTGGATGAGCACACCCATTATCAAATGATAAAAAACAAAGTATGCTAGAAACAGAAAAATTACTACTTTGTAATTATCAGACTAAAGGCAAAACTGTTATTCCAATAGCCTGTTACTCATCAATGAATACTGAGTATAAGGCAATTTTTTTTTTTTTTTTTTTTTTTAAAGAATAGCTGCATAGGGTTAGAGGAATGGCTCAGTAGTTAAAAATACTGGCTCTTCTTCCAGAGGTTCTGAATTTCAGAACCAGGTTCCAGAAAATCTGACACCTTCTTCTGGTCTCCCATCACCAGGCATGAACATGGTACAGGCATAAATGCTGGCAAAACACCCATACACATAGAATAGAAAAAAATAAAACAGAGTATTTACATGGTCCAAAAATGTTTCCCTATATGATTTACCCGGGGAAAAACGGTATATATGAAAACACTGGCCAAGGCCCTGCCTGGCTAACAGCACCAATAGGGTGAATGGACCTCTTGTCTCCAAAAAATGATACTCTGAGGACATAGGACACTAAAGCACTTTTCAGAAATAACAATGTTGTAAAACACAAACAATACCAAAAATACCAAGTATGGTGGTACAGACCTGTAATCTAAACACTCTGAAGGCTAAAGGATGGGGATTTCTGATTAATAGCCTGGGTGACATAGCTAGGGACTATTTCAAACCTAAATAAATAAATTCACATAAGAAACACCTTCCAAGGGTGGATAATGCTCCTCTCCTAGTAGCCAAATGCTACTTTAAAAAAATCCTAGTACCAAATAAAGGCTCCCTAGCACCACATCAGGGAAGCCCAAGTGCTCACAAACATTATAGGCTACTGCCAATGTACAGGCTGCCTACTAGAACCATACTGAAAGATTCTATTGATGAAGACACCACATACTTGGGCTGCAAGGCATTGAGAAATCAAGCTGTATCTGAGCTGAAGTTTCCTCCCTAGCGGAGAACTTTCATACGCTGGAAAGTACTATAGTAGGTGCTAGAGGAGAAAAGTCATCAAAGGTCCTAAGCCAACTGTGTACCTCATAAACAACAATAAAGGCGTGCCTGATAAAATAGGCCCAGTGCTCTAATAGTGTCATGACTATTGTGGGGGTACCAAAAGCTTTCTGGTTCCACAGAAAACTTAGGTCTGCTACTATGAACCTAGACAAAAGCTCATAGTTAGGATAGTCATAGGCCTCAGGGAAGAACCTTCTACAATTATGCTAAATGGGCATGACAATTTTTTGGTTTTGTTAAGATTTTGTTTTCATGTGTATGGGTATTTTGACTGCAAGTGTACCTGGTAACCACACGCATGCCTGGTTTCTGCAGGGTCCAGAAAAGGGCATTAGATCCCCTGGAGCTGGAGTTACAGACAATTGTTAACTGTCATGTGGGTGCTAGGAATCCAACCAGGGCCATCTGAAAAAGCTGCCAGGGTTAATTGCTGAACCATTTCTCCATGGTATAAAACCACCTTCTAAACTTGTTTATGCTCTTGGATGAGCTAGCCAGGGCAATGCTGGAGAGTTCACACTGGTGGTGTGGGTACCAGAGAACTGGCCGGCTCAGGTATCTCCCAGGCCCAGATCACCTACTATCAATGAACTGCTAGAGCATGTGAAGGAGCCAGTCCTACAGATCCAAAACTACAAGATCTCCATGACACAGGACAACAGGAAATCTGAGAGGAGTCCCAGTGATGTTTCGGTATTGATAGTGTGGCAGAAGACAGAGGCCTTGAACCAGACCAATGACTCACTGCATGGAGCATTTACAAGTAAAGAAGTGTGGACAAAAACAGTGTGTCTGACTACAGCTTCCACAAGGAGGTGGGTGTGTGTGTGTGTGTGTGTGTGTGTGTGTGTGTGTGTGTGTGTGTTGGGGGGGTGCAAGGACAAAGGACGAGTATGAAGAGATGGGGAGATGAGTGGGATTGGGGTACATGTGACATTAATGAAGAACCAATAAAAAGCTTTCTTAGAGTTATAAATGCACAAATACCTGTAAAAGGAATTTTAATTAACCTTTTTCAGCTGTTGTTTCTGAGGCTTATTGCCTCTGTCTGCAAACCTAGGCCTAGTTCTGGAAACTTCTGGCCTCCATACAATCTAATCTAGACCTTTGAGACTTACTGCTTAGTAAGCTCACCCTTTCTTGCTCTTACTGAGCTCTGGGCTGGCTATTCAACTCAGCTGTTCTGGCTCAAACTCCTCTCCCAGCTAACTTACTCAATCTGGCTTTTCTCTCCACCTCTAAATGCTCTGCTTGGCCTCAAACTAACTCTAGCAATCTGCTTTAATCTTCTGGCTCCTTCTCATACTCTGGCTTGTTCTGTCTTCGCCTGTGTCAAGCTTGTTCTCTCATTCAACCTCTCTCTGTAAAACTCCCCTGGTAAAACTGTCTCCTCTTTCTCTCCAAATTGCCCATTAAGAAGCTTTCTTTTCCTCTCTCTTCTCATGAGAGTTGGGTGTATCCTAGTCTGTCAAATCCTTCTCTGATTCCTCACCTTTTCTGCCACTCAATTACACACCACTTTCAAACACGGGTGCTTCCTTCTACAAATGAACTTTACCTTCATTGTTTGGGATTAAAGGCATGAACCACCCCAACTGGACCTAAGCTTTTCTTTACATGAAACTTGCTCTATACCAGGCTGGCTTTAAACCCAGATCCGATTGCCTCTGTCTCCTGGATTAAAGGCGTGTCTATATTCCAGCTGGATCATACAGACCTAGAAGGTCTTTGGATATGATCTCTTGCCAGAAGAGCCATGTTCGGAACTGGAACTAAGACTTCCTCTACAAATACCTTCTTAAGTTTCATCTTCAGACAGTGAATAATATTTAGCGTGTGCACATCTCATATAATACATTTCCTTTGTCTTACTGGGAATTTCTATTGGTTAAATGTATCACGTTAAACAATAGGAACTGCTAAAGCTATTGTTGTGTAAAGTGTGTACAACTCCCAGAT